TCTGAAGCAGGCTCCAGGCTCTGACCTGTCAGCACAGGGCCCGACACGGGGCTCGAACTCACAAACCATGAGATCATGACCTGAGCCAAAGTTGGATGCTCAACCGACTGAGCCACCCAGATGCCCCTTTGGCAGGAAGGTTTTAGAAGAGATTTAGCTATTTGATGGGTTATTGGATTAGATGACCTTAAGGGACCCTTCAACCCCAAGATTTTATGATTCTGCCTTTCTACTATCACCTACCAAATTAGGACTTCCTTGTAAATACCGTAGAGCTTAGAAACCCCAAGCTCCTTGCTATTCCAGGAACAAGCCCTACACTGAGGTTAGTGAGTCAATAGTGACTCAGTGTGAGTATTTACCCATGTGGTTTCTGTGCCTGGAATGTCTTTCTCTCACTTCTCTGCCTCTCAAAACCTCCTTGTTCATTAAGGCTCAATTCAAAGATAAACTTTGAAATCAAGCTTTCTGGAAAGGATTGAAATATGTTGTTCCCTCTCTGGGACCAGTGGCACTTAGCGTGTGGCACTATTAAAGCACTTACTGTATTTTACTTATATTGGAGTTCATAATTGCTCAGGCTGCTTCCCTATTAGCTTTTGATTTTCTTGAGGGCAGAGACTGTTATCTTCCTCCTGCTTTTATAATGCCTCAAGGTGCAAATCTCCTAGTCATTGCTTTGCACCCAGAAGATATTCAACAAGTTAATGACTACAGCACCAGGCAATAAATGTACTCATTATTATCAGGAGCATGTTAGACATGACCATTGCTTGAAGTAGGAAAAAGAATAACCTATTGGTTTATCGAGGAACTCTTTCTCTCCCAGTCTCCACTCTATCCCTCTCTACTTACTAGCTATGTGGCCCTTGGCATGCTGCCTAACATCTTCATGCCTTGGTTTCTTCATCTGTACAATGACAATAACAATAGTATCTACTTCATAAGATTGTTGCAAGGATTAAGCGCGACAATCCATGTCAAGCACCTAGGTCAGTACTCACTATAAATTAACACTCACTATAAATTAACACTCACTATAAATTAGCAATTATTATGATTATGATAAGCATTCCTCCCCTCCAATAGATTTTTGATTTAAATGTATCATTTAAAGGTATGAGAAAACAGAAATCACAAAAGAAGTCTGATGACTGATTTTATATTTGGTCAAGATTCTAACACCCTATCAGGCAAAATTAATTTGAAATATATATATATATAATTTGAAATATACAATTTGAAATACTCTGTTTGTATTGAATTGGAAACTAGTGTAATAGAAAGACTAAATAAGCTACCAGCAAGAATCCCTGTAGGGGATGGGCATTAGAGACAACCTCCCCTTTACAGGTAAAGAAACAGATGATTCAGAAAACTTCAGTGACTTGCCCAAGGTCATACAGCTAAGGTCAGAATGGGGAGACTAACTTGAACCTTCCAAGCCTGCCTGGCTCCTTTGCTGTTCTCCTTTTCCACTGCACCCTGCTGCCTCCCAGTTGTCTGTATGGCTGAGGCCAACACAGATTGGAGATGCTGTTACTCCAAAGCCTTACAGGCCCCAGCTGTTCATTGCTAGCGCTCTATGGGCAGCAAGCCCAATTTCAGGCTGATGGGGCTGAGGCTGCTGATACTCTTCTGGCTTTAGGGAGAACTGACTCACAGTCCTAGACAGGCTGGGGCCTGCAGATGGAGGTTATGCAGGGCTCCATCTGTGAAAGGCTACATGATAAAGACAGAGGATCTGAGGCCTATCTGATGTGCATTTAACCCACGAGAAGTAAGAGAATACTACATAGGTCTAAATCTAGTATGTCCAGGAAGACAAACCCAAGAATGTATCAAGTCACACCCAAAATATCAAGACAAAAGAAACGATTTTCAATCTGTTTGGAGGAAGAAGCAAAAGTCAGGAAGGAATAGCTCTCTTTGAGAGACGAGTGCTCTTTGAGAATTGGTGTAATGTTAATAAAGAATTGAAAGGAGGCAGAGTTACTTTGATCTTGAGCAAAAGAATGGTATTCTCTGTAGAAGTTAGAGAAAACAGAAGAAATTGAAGACCACCTGAGAGGGAGAGGAGGCAGGAGTAAAGCACATTTTGCTGTTTTTTGTGAGTCTTGGGCTTAAAAGAATTATATACCAAATGGATTGGATGCCTAATATTATTAGTACATTATATTTGTATAGACCTTTGCAGTTACAGAGAATTATTATTTCAGTAGTCAACAAATTCAATATTACAAACATTTATTGAGCTTTTGCTTGTGCAAAGTACAACTGCTTTTTCCCAAATTGGATGATGATGACCTCTCAAGTCTTTCCTAAATATAGATCAAGCACACCCTGCTGGAGGGTGCTTTTTATATTTTCTCTAGTATTTAAATAATCACCATGGAGTTAAAAAAATAAAATATCTCTCCATATTTTTACAAATACATAGACTATAGTACTTATTCAGGTTATTAACAATTTCAAATGTAGCCTGAATTAATGAAGTTAATGAACTCTGGGTTATAGAGAGCTCTTGGTGCACCTCTGCCATGTGCCAGGAAAAATGGGAGCCACAGTGGCTCCTGGGTGGCTTAGTTGGTTAAGTGTCTGACTTCAGCTCAGGTCATGATCTCATGGTTCAGTTTGTGAATTCAAGCCCCGCGTTGGGCTCTGTGCTGACAACTCAGAGCCTGGAACCTGCTTCAGATTCTGTGTCTCCATCTCTCTCTGCCCTTCCCCCACTCATGTTGTGTGTGTGTGTGTGTGTGTGTGTGTGTGTGTGTGTGTGTGTGTGTCTGTCTCTCTCTGTGTCTCTCTTTCCCAAAAATAAATAAACATTTAAAAAGATGGGAGCCACAGATGAAATGATGCATCTTCCTGAATATTGGAGGATTTATGTGTGTGCATGTATGTGTGTGTGAGGGGGGAGGGTTTAAAGTGCATATTTGTATCAAAACAAACAACCATTTTTTATTTTGTGGTATAGAGGACAAAGTCTGCTCCTTTGAGCTTTGTTATAGTCACATCCTAGAGATATGTTTTAGGTGCTAAAGTCTGAAAAGTACTAAATCTTAATCTGGACATTTAGACTAATATACTTACTTATAGGCATATTAAAACTTCATTAATTCAGGCTCTGTTTTTTGAAATTAAAAAAAAATTTTTTTTTAACGTTTATTTATTTTTGAGACAGAGAGAGACAGAGCATGAACGGGGGAGGGTCAGAGAGAGAGGGAGACACAGAATCGGAAACAGGCTCCAGGCTCTGAGCTGTCAGCACAGAGCCCGACGCGGGGCTCGAACTCACGGACTGTGAGATCGTGACCTGAGCCGAAGTCGGACGCTTAACCGACTGAGCCACCCAGGCGCCCCTGACATTTTTAATAATCTGAATAAGTACTACCTACCGTCTATGTATATGTACAAATGAGGATATTTATTTTTCTTAAGTTCCATGTGATGATTTAAATACTAAAGAAAATTTATAAAAAAACCACCCTCGGGGCGCCTGGGTGGCGCAGTCGGTTAAGTGTCCGACTTCAGCCAGGTCACGATCTTGCAGTCCGTGAGTTCGAGCCCCGCGTCGGGCTCTGGGCTGATGGCTCAGAGCCTGGAGCCTGTTTCCGATTCTGTGTCTCCCTCTCTCTCTGCCCCTCGCCCGTTCATGCTCTGTCTCTCTCTGTCCCAAAAATAAATAAACGTTGAAAAAAAAAAAACACCCTCAATTTATAAGGAGTAATTTATATTCAAATACTTAATACACAAATTATAGGTATTCTTATCTACTCATCAAAGCAGATGTGGAAAGTTGATCAGTCTCATTTTAAATTGCATTATGTATTTGAACTTTTGCAAAACTTCCTCTCATTTTCTTTAACAATATTTCTTATAATCAAGCCTTTTCCTTCACTTTTTTTGTCTTCCTGCCATTTGTGACAATCAGTAAGGTTTTAAATCACAAACCACCTCCCATTTTCTACTGCATAAACCTTCTAAAGAAGGTGTGGTTTCCTAGCTTCTAGTTGGGCAGGCTGTAACAGGGTCATTGTACTGAGGTTCCCCAATACAGTTACCCTTGGAATGACCTTGTTAGTTTCAATTCAGAGGAAGAACTTGGCAAACAATAATAACCCAATGGGCCATTCCCCAGGGAAACCCTGACATACCTAAAAATGATATTAACCATTTAGTCTGTTTACATAGAAGACAATTGTCACAAATTTCCCTTCCAAAGCCAGTAGAACAAAAATTTACAGATTAACTCCAAACTTTAATGAATTCCTTATTAAGAGGATAGCAAATTCTACATAAAGGTCATTTGCTACAAACACAGTCTGTTGCAAGAGCATTGAGTTTTTAATTCTCATTATTGTTTTATGCATCATTTATCCCATACCACATTGTTCCCCAGGTGCCAGTCCTACTCATCCTGTCCCAGTGCTTAGGACCAAAGGACCAAGTTGTGTGGAGGAATGGAAAGCATGTTATCTTGGCCACAGTGGAAGGCCACTGTGTGTGGCCTTGAAATATCACCCACCCTTTCAGGCCCTTAGGTTCCCAAAGTATGAAATGGAATGATTGGATGAGCATCATCTTTTTGATGACTGTCAGTTCCAACAGTACTTGCTTCTACAATGTGAAGCAGGAAGAGGTGAGATTTAAGAGGTGGTGGCGACTGGTGGGTAAGTGGCTGGGGTAGGTAGTTGAATGAGGACTTTGAATGCAAGACAGAAGAGCTTGAATTTTCTACAACAGACAGGAGGACCAAGTTAGGTTCCTGAGCAGCTGGGTGAAGTGCTGAAAGTGGTGTGGGAGTTAGGTCAGTCTGACTTGTGTGTAGGATGCAGTGGAGTGGATCTGGGGATGTCATGCATACACAATGATAGCAAAGTCAAGACAAATATCTCATTATTTTTGCCTCCCAGAAGGGAAAAGAGTCCACTCTAGTCTTAATGAAAAGAGATAATTAAATAAAAAATAGTCAACCTGGGGAAAAATGCAGGGCTTACCTTCTTGCTATCTCCCAGTAATCATCTTCACCCATGCTCCTACATGAGTGCAGGCCTTCAAAATATCCAAACCGTTTTCACAGGTGCTGTCTCATTTCATCCCCTCAAAACCCGAGTATTTTCTAAAAACAAAAACAATCCAAAGTCAAGGCCAAGAAGTAACTAACCACAGACTCTGTTAGGCATCTTGGCTGCATTAGAATTTCATTATGGGGGCACCCGGGTGGCTCAGTCAGTTGAGCATCCGACTTTGGCTCAGGTCATGATCTCACAGCTTGTGAGTTCGAGCACCATGTCAGGCTCTGTGCTGACAGCTCAGAGCCTGGAGCCTGCTTCGGATTCTGTGTCTCCCTCTCTCTCTGCCCCATCCCCACTCATGCCCTGTCTCTCTCTGTCTTAAAAAAAATAAAATTAAAAAAAAAAAATTATTCCGAGACACAGAATCGGAAACAGGCTCTAGGCTCTGATCCATCAGCCCAGAGCCTGACGCGGGGCTGGAACTCCCGGACCGCGAGATCGTGACCTGGCTGAAGTCGGACGCTTAACCGACTGCGCCACCCAGGCGTCCCCCCCAAAAAATTTAATTAAAAAAAAAAAAGAATTTCATTATGGAAAGGTTCTCTCAGCTGATGGCTACTCAGAACAGTTATTCATGGAGTGGTCCATGAGTAATGAAGTGTGGAAGTCCACCTCCTGGGGTCAGCAGGATGGTAGATGGGATCCCTGACTTCCTAGACATCTTCCTGAGTGTATATTGATTCAGTTATGTCCTCCAACCTCTTGTGAAATGAGAGCCCCTTCCACAGCCAAGTGCTTTTCAGGACTGTTACCTTCTCATTCAAAGATGGAGTGAACATCTATCACACGGGAGCAATCCATAGGCAAGGAAATGGGTTTTAAATTTTTTTTTTTCAACGTTTATTTATTTTTGCAACAGAGAGAGACAGAGCATGAACGGGGGAGGGGCAGAGAGAGAGGGAGACACAGAATCGGAAACAGCCTCCAGGCTCTGAGCCATCAGCCCAGAGCCCGACGCGGGGCTCGAACTCACGGAGCGCGAGATCGTGACCTGGCTGAAGTCGGACACTTAACCGACTGCGCCACCCAGGCGCCCCGGAAATGGGTTTTAAATGACTTGACAATTCCCATTGATAAGTGTGACTACTTAATGTGCTATGTAGGTTGAGAAGGACCTTGAGACTAAATTATCTATTTTATCCATGTTAGCCAGGGTACAGAAATGGAATAAATCATGCCACAGGTACTCACTCATTTTTCGGTGAAGCCTATCCTTAGGCTTTACCACTTGGGGCTTAAAACCCCCACCCAAGGATTCACCTTTACCAAGGTGGTTTCTAATTTGCCAGGTCATTAAGTTAGTGCAATGCCCAGTTACTACTATTTTGCCTTCAGAACAGCCTTCAGCATGTTCCCCATTCACTGTCTAGAAGGCCATCTCTACTACCCTCTGCCTTCAGGGTTATGTGAGGCTCCTTGGTGCCTCAAATATCACAATGGAGTGATATTTCTGGCAAATCATCATTTGGCTGTCAGTAGAGTATGCATCCTCTTCCTAAAGCAAGGTAATCCTAATTTTGGCAGAGAACAAGTTGTTTCTTTAGGGAGCATGATGAGGCCTCTTTCGTAAGTTGTCATTTGGATGCCAATAAGTTATAGTTTCAAAAATAAAGTTCAAGGCAAGGGACCAGTCTTCTAAATGGCTACCTGGCAAGAGCACTTAAGTTTGTCCCCAAATTCACTGGGTTCTGGGTCATTTTCCAAAAGAAAAAAAAAATCCATTTGATTGCTTGATGAGGCTTCAGCCAGTCTCTAAAATTTGCAAGTTTTGGGGTGCCTGGGTGGCTCAGTCAGTTGAGCGTCTGAGTTCGGCTCAGGTCATGATCTCATGGTTCATGAGTTTAGGTCCCGCGTCAGGCTCTGTGCTGGCAGCTCAGCGCCTGGAGCCTGCTTCTGATTCTGTGTCTCCCTCCCCTCAGCTTCTCCCCTGCTCACACTCTGTCTTCTCTCAAAAATAAATAAAGATTAAAAAAAATTAAAAAAAAAAATAAAATTTGCAAGTTTTGACTCATTCACTTTGGAGATAAATTTCAGTATATCTTTGCCCAAATCCTATAGATTACCACTGTCCCTGCAAATGTACAACATCTCAATATGAATTATCTCAATTTAATTTGTTTTTTCTTTATGAGGGAAATTCCAAACTGCCACTCCATTTCCCACTGTATTAGCAAGTAATGTGAATCTAACCTTAGATAGAGGAATACTTACTTCTGTGCCAATTCTTGGCTTCTTGAGTGAGCATCATACTTCAGGTTGCTCCAATAATGTCATGAGTTGTGTCTAAGGTAAACATTAGTATCCCCATATCTTCTTACTGTACTCTTACCTCTAACCTCTGATTTCCTTAGCTTAATTATTTTTTTTTTATCTATTCAAAATTCCTTTGCAACCTTACCTCACCTTCATAATTCTGACTCTACATATAGAGGACTTCTTAATGATAAATATATCATTTTGCAGTCTTTTTAAAATTTTTTTTTAACATTTATTTATTTTTGAGAGACAGAGAGACAGTGTGAGCAGGGGAGGGGCAGAAAGAGAGGGAGACACAGAGTCTGAAGCAGGCTCCAGGCTCTGAGCTGTCTGCACAGAGCCCGATGCAGGACTCAAACTCATGAACCACGAGATCATGACCTGGGCTGACATCAGCTGCTTAACTGACTAAGCCACCCCGGCGCCCTGCAGTCTTTTTTTTTAAATACACACATGCATACACATATTTCCTCATTTTCTTGGTATATGTCACATGCTACCTTGGACCAATAATAATCTCTTATAGTCATCCATTCAACCATGCATTAAATAAATATTTGTTGAGGACCTTCGATATACCGAATCTATATCTTATCCCTTCTAGCCAAATTAAAAATTATTAAGGGTACTGATCATGTCTTGTATTCTTTTTTTGATTCACTTCCATTAAGAATAATACTTTGTAAGGGTGCCTGAGTGGCTCAGATGATTAAGTGTCCGACTTCAGCTCAGGTCAGGATCTCGCAGTAAGTTCGACGCGCATTGGGCTCTGTGCTGACAGCTCAGAGCCTGGAGCCTGCTTCAGATTCTGTATCTCCCTCTCTCTCTCTGCCCCTCCCCAACTCACGCTCTCTCTTTATCTCTCAAAAATAAATAAATGTTAAAAAAAAAAGAATAATACTTTGTGTATAATAGATACTCAGTGTTCACTAATTAAATTCCAATTGTAACCATACTTCAAATCTGGTGGGACCCTATGTATACATCTTTCCTTTTAAAAAATCTCCAATTCATCTATCAGATACCATAAACACTGTCTTGTACTTCAAGTGTATTGGTTTCCAAGGCATCTATTTATTTTTATGTAATTATTAAACACTGGTCACTACAAAACATAAAGGAATAGGCCATTGAGAAAAAAGGCCCATGAAATTCTTTTTTAAAGGAGGTCACCTTATAAACTGCCTGCAGTTCATGAGTTCTCTAGCCTGCTCAGAGCATAACTTCATGTCTTTAGAAAAATATTTTTCTGGGGCACCTGGGTGGCTCAGTTGGTTGAGCGCCGATTTCAACTCAGGTCATGATCTCACGGTGTGTGGGTTCGAGCCCTGCATTGGTGTCTGTGCTGACAGCTCAGAGCCTGGAGCCTGCTTCGGATTCTGTGTCTCCCTCCCTCTCTGCCCCTCTCCTGCTTGTGCTCTGTCTCTCTCTTTCTCAAAAATAAAATAAACATTAAAAAATTAAAAAAAAAAGAAAAATATTATTCTGAGAACATAGTGGATGTCATAGATCTATGGCTGCTCAGTGAACAATTATTGATCAATGTGTTAAAGTTGAGCCCAAAAAGCTAGTTACAGTTCTCTTTGCCACTATTTTTTTAATCTGTAAAATGGGAATAATATTAGCTGTCTTATCTACCTTATAGGTTTCATTACACACCCAATACTATAATGTTCATTATAAACTATTAAGCACTATGCATAAAAGGTGAAATCCTGGAATTGCCTCTTTGGCAAGGTTTAGGTGCTAAGAATAGCATTTTAGGTGCGAATCACAAATATCTAAAATTACCCTTTAAAAGACCTTAAATATCAATAAATTCAGTCCAGCTATTTTTCTTCCAGTATTGGAACATATCACTATTTCTTCGGTTGAACACCAGATGAAGAATTGTATTTAACTTCCATTTATGGAAATGTTATACAAAAAATATGTCCCGTTATTATTATTTTTTTTTTTTTTGAGAGAGAGAGAGGCCATGCAAGCGGGGGAGACGGGAAGAGGGTGAGAGAAAGAGGGAGAGAGAGAGAATCTTAAGCAAGCTCCAGGCTCCATGCTCAGCACAGAGCCCCACATGGGGCTCGATCCCATGACTCTGGGATCATGACTTGAGCTGAAATCAAGAGTCAGACACTCAACCAACTGAGCTACCCAGGTGCCCCAATATGCCCTGTATTTTTAAAAACTATCAGTACATTCAGTTCCCTATATTCACACAAATAATAAGCATGTGGGAAGTGGGAATGAGGACCACTGAGTGAAAGAATAGCAGATTCACTTCTCACATCTCATATTCCTTATGAACTAAAACCTATGATTATGAATGTATTACTAATGGTGTTATAAGCCTTATTTCATTGGCTCCTGTCTTTGCTTGCTGGTGCAGGACCTCCAGCTCCTTGCAAAATACTCTGCTCATAATTTTTGAGAGCCCTGAGACAGTGTTTTATGTGGTTTCAAGAACAAGACTTATCTGTGGCCACACGGATGTCTGTTGCTAAAGTTTCTGTTGTCATTGAACACTTGTGATATTAATCATTGAACCAGCCCCATTAGGCCAGGTCACCACCACCTTCTACTGGACATTTTCATGATCTCCATTGTAGCCTTCAAGAAATTAAAATACTTTTGTGTTTTCTGGAGACTCCAGTACTGCAAAATTATGTTGTATTTCCCCCAAGAAGTGGGAAAAAAAGCCCTAATTACTCATTTATGGATTATAAGTGATGTAATAAAGATTTTAATGCACTGCTATTTCTGCTTATGGTGTTTTCCAAGAGGAGTCAAT